GGTACTTCCTTCATACATTGAATCCTTCTGGCTTTCAACCTCCCCACACCGCTTCTTCTTCTTCTTCTATTTCTTTCGAGTAACTACGCTGTATCGACTGGACAATTCCTGTGTCGCACGTGTTTTCCAGTGCGCAGACCTTCCGTGGGACTCACTCGCCTCTATAGGTACTTACCTACCGAGTATATCCCTCTGCCATTTCTGTCGTATTTTTTGCCCCCCCTGTCTTTGTTTGGGTCTGCAGATCCACCATCCTTTTTTTAAACTGCGCGCATCTCAGACTTTCTGCTTCCTCTCCTTCTCTCCCTCACTTCTCCCTTCCCCTACTAAAATAGCGAACATGAACACCTCTGATTTCGCGGTTCGTCGTTAGACTGACATATGACGCCATGTTATCTTAAAGTTCCGGATCTCCTTTCGCATTTGCCTCCGATCCAATCCAATTCTCCCCACCTACCCGATTGCTTGCCCTTCAAGCTTTAGGACTTGAACCCAAACTGTACATTTTTGTTCTCCGTGCATTGTCATTGGAATACGCCTTTGTTTCTGCAAAAATCGCAGTCTCCTGCAACATGAAGTTCGGCCACAATCTGTCCCGGAATGTGGTTCCCGAATGGAGCTCTTCCTACATCAGGTATAAGCCTTTGAAAAAGCTTATTAAGTCCGCGGCCGACAACGTGAAGGCGGGCCAAGAGCCGGACCTTGCCGGTGAGATATCATCCGATTCCTTAGCGGGTTGAGATCCTGGGGCCGTCCTCCTGACGCAATTCCCCTAGGCTTTTTCTACTCTCTCGATCGAAACCTCGAGGACGTCGGCTATTTCTACAATAAGAAATATGCCGACTTTTCCCGCCGTCTCAAGCTACTGGAAGATCGCTATGGCTCACCCTTGGAGAACGGCCAGCGCATCGACCCGGAGGATGTGGAGGACCTCCTTGCGGCGATGCTAGAACTGCGCGGTCAATTGCGGAAACTACAGTGGTACGGTGAAGTCAACCGCCGCGGGTTCATCAAGATCACCAAGAAGCTGGATAAGAAGTTAGGAACACAGGCCCAAAAGACTTATTTGGAAACCAAAGTGGACCCGTTACCCTTCGTATCGAACGCTAAGGTTTCCGAAGCGTTGAAGAAGATCAATGACAGGCTGTCGGTTTTGGGCGAACAGAAGGCCTCTGAGGATGCTAGCTCCAGGCGCTCGTCGCTGTCTTTGAAGCGAGGACCCGCTCGCCCGAACCTGAACCTGCCACAGAGCATGCTGCTCGAGGTTGATGAAGCCTTGCGCAAAGATGACACTCATGTTCTGCTGGAGCTCCTGGAGACTCTCAAGACCGCCGCGGACGATGCTGGCGAGGGGGTTTACGCCCAGGTCCTTAAGAGCCTTCTCCAGCGCTCGATCCATTATCGGTCCAAGCCCTGCGTTTCCGCCCTTCTTCCGCGGGTCGATTCGCTTGATGAAGATGACGATATCAACAGGCGCAATTGCATCCATCGCCTGGTCATCTCCTTAGGCCGTGCGCAATCCACCACCGACTCCGAGGAATCCGCGTCGATGGTCCTCGACCTCCCTCTGGAGACAGCAAACTTCATCACCCCGGCTGCGTTGCCCACCCTGCAGCCACCCCGCCTGGTCGTCAAAGAGTCAGACCTCCCCCAGCAGTTGAACCGCGCCGACCCATCGGTATCGCTTCTGCAGCACATCCTGGATCATCTTCGCCCTGAACAGCGGAAGGCCCTCTTGGCAAAGGATATCGCAGGTCGAACTCCACTCCACTACGCGGCGCAGTATGGGTTCCGGGCTGTTTGCGAGGTGATCATTGAACACCTCCAGGCATGGGATATGTTTGATGTCCGCGACGGCATTGATTCGGCCTCCTGGCAAGACAGTGATGGGTGGGCTCCTTTGCATTTGAGTGTCGTGGGTGGTCACCCACTGACGACCCGCACCCTCTTGGACGCGGAGCGCTGGCAGGATCCCAGCCAGGAGGAGCAGGTGCACCGAAAACGATCTTCTCGGTCCAGTGCAGTGCTTGCGATGGCCGTCAAGGCGAACTTCGTCGATATCGTCCATCTACTGGTCGAAGCTGGAGTAGACATCAATTACCAGGATGAACAGGGGGAGACTGCGTTGCACATGGCAGCTCGCTTCGGACACGACCAGTGTGCCAAGATTCTGCTCGAAGGCAACGATGAGCAAAAGGCCGATACGGACCTGGCGGAGAACACGTATTCCTGGACTCCCCTGTTCGTTGCCTGCGTTGATGGGGCCCTGGGCGTGGTAGAGTTGCTCATTGAAGCCGGGGCTGACCTGATGAGGTCGGATTCCTCCGGATGGACGGCGAAGGAGCACGCCGCCCTGAGAGGCCATCTCGCTATTGCGCGACGTCTCGCGGAGGTCACTCCGGCGCCTGAAGTTAGCGAGGCCGAGCCCGCGAATCCTGTCTCCACGGCGTCGTCCGTTCCTGCGTCACCCCCGACGCAGACTTCTTTCGCCGAGAGGCGACCGGACGGCGCCACATCACAGGCGAGTTCTGGGTCACGGGAGCTTGAGCCGATTAAGTCATTTGGACACCGGTATCTCACCGACGAATCGATGATTTTGGTCAGCCTGGGGACTATGGACATACGGAAGAATATGGAAACGGTTAGCCTTGATCGCATCCCCATGGAGAACGCCCATTCCACCCAACTGGACACCGCACTGTCCTTGGTTGTCTCTGCGAATGGCGCTCATGGTGAGCCGGAGACCATCGACCTTCCCGTTCAGGATCATATCTCAACCGAGCCGATGGTCTTCCACGCTGCCGATCCGACCAAGGTCCGGCTCCTTTTTGACTTGATCCCGACCTACGCCGGGACGAAGGACCAGGTTGTGGGGCGTGGTGTTGCTTTGCTCTCTAGCATCAAGCCCACCGTGGGCTCTCACCGTACCAACCTCAAGGGCGACTCGACGGTGCCGATCATTGCGGCAAACACCCTGGAGGTGATTGGCACGGTGACCTTCAACTTCCTTGTCGTCACGCCATTCAAGCACCCCAACATGTCGATCACTGGAGACCGGACCTACTGGAAGATGAACTCGACCATGGTCATCGGGCACCGGGGCCTGGGCAAGAACATGGCCTCCCGTAACTCCTTGCAGCTCGGCGAAAACACGATTCAGTCGTTCGTTGCCGCTGCCAACCTGGGCGCGTCCTACGTCGAATTCGATGTTCAACTGACCAAGGACCACGTGCCAGTGATCTATCACGATTTCCTCGTCAGTGAAACTGGCATTGATGCTCCGGTCCACGCCCTGACACTGGAGCAATTCCTTCAACTCGGGGCGAAAGGCCCACACCGCCGACCCAAATCCCCGTCGCAGTCCAGCGATACCTCGGACGGATCGGGAGGTAACTCCGGTCTGCGCCAGCGGTCCATGTCTGTTGGTGGATCCGAGTATGACCCCTCGGAGCTGAACGAGAAGATCAAGCACACGCGTGATTTCAAAAAGAAGGGGTTTAAGGGCAACAGTCGTGGCAACCACATCCAAGCGCCTTTTGCAACCTTGGGAGAATTGTTTGAGAAGCTACCCAACTCGGTTGGGTTCAATATTGAACTTAGTAAGTATGCCTAAGAAAAAAATTGTCTAGAAGACAATCTAACAGGTCCCTAGAATACCCGATGCTCTACGAGGTTGAAAACGAAGACATGGATACCTACGCGGTGGAACTGAACTCCTACGTGGATACTGTGCTCAACAAGGTGTACGATATGGGACAGGACCGCCGCATGATCTTTTCTAGTTTCAACCCGGATATCTGCCTTTTGCTTTCGTTCAAGCAGCCGTCCATCCCGGTCCTTTTCTTGACCGATTCCGGCGCCAGCCCCGCTGGCGATATCCGCGCCGGCAGCCTCCAGGAAGGCATTCGCTTCGCCTCCAGGTGGAACCTGCTGGGCGTTGTTTCGCAGGCGGAGCCGCTGGTTTTGTGCCCTCGGTTGGTGCGAGTGGTCAAGGAGTCGGGGCTAGTCTGTGTGACTTATGGAGTGCTCAACAACAACCCTGCCAATGTCAAGGTAAGCGCGTCACAGTCTTGTGATTGCCGTCTGTTGTCTAACATCTACTTTAGCTCCAAGTTGCCGAAGGTATCGACGCCGTCATCGTGGATTCTGTCCTCGGCATTCGGAAGGGTCTCACGGAGCATGAGAACGGTGAAACACCGGAGCCCTCACCGGAGCCCAGCCCGTACGCGCAGCCCGCGTCTGGTGGCCTCCAGGAGACGACCCAGATCCCTGTTCTTACCGCTTAGACGGAGCACAATATATCTCATCTTCACGACAAGTTAGACTTATTTTGGTTTAGATGTAGCGCAGGTGGTTGTTTGGTTTTCTGTGCTTGAATTTCTCTCAAGTCTAATAAGTAGTATGAGCTTAGCACTGCTGTGATAGCTGCTGAATTGATACGTTTGGACATTGCGTAAACCATTTGATCTTGGTAAACCATCTATCTGTACATATCTACCTTGGGGAGCCATGTTCGCTCATGTTTTAAAGCATGACTGGTCGCAAGACCTACCGGGAATAACAATCCATGCAATGTGAACAATCTCTGCATTGTTAATCCAAGGCACAAGAAAAGAACCAGAATAGGAAATGGCAAGTCGTGATGTAGCAAGTGGACTCCATGCATGGTGACGGCGACGAACCGCGACAGTCACGTGTGGAGGTGCATAACGGTTTGGCCGATCTCTCGCTCCAGCTTCGTATAGCTTTCTCCGAGCTGTGTTCTGCTTCATTTTTCAATATCCTCGGCTGTTCTTCGGCCATCCCTGTTCGCAGTTGCTGGGAAAGGCCAACGGATACTTTCTTTCACATATTTTATTTTTGAATCGTCACATCTCTATCCTTGACGAAGTGAGAGGGCTTAGCTGCTCGTCTCAACCGGAGCCACTTACACGCCCCAGCAGAATCTACCGCGGAGTCCTGCAACCCATGATGCTATGACCTACCATCCATTCGAACTCACCTATATTACCCACCCTCCCATCACTATAGCCTATGTTCTACCCTCTGCAACCATCTTCACCTTAAGAAGCCCCCCACCATAGAGCCCAGCTCTCCTACCCAACCACGAAGAATGAACGCCGTAGATGCGACAGAGCACTACGAAACCAGCGCACGCGGTACTTAACCCCCCAATCACTCTTCCAACCTCACCCTCCTATGCTCATCACAAAATAAGTAACTAACCATCCTTCTGCAAAAAAGATCCAGCCCCCGCCCTCCTAACCGTAATCCTCGACACCAACCCGCGCGCCTGGGCCCTCCTCGAAGACTCCCTCCCCCTCTCCCAAGCAATAGCCAACATCCTCGTCTTCCTCAACGCCCACCTAGCCTGCAACTACGCCAACGAAGTCGCCGTCGTCGCATCGCACAACCAAAAAGCCACCTGGCTCTACCCATCAGGTCACCACAACCCGACCCCGCAACCCAGCGATGGCACGACCGACAGAGACGGGGACGTCGCCATGAACGGGCCAGTCCCCGAAGGCACCAGCAAGGCACCGAACCCCGGAAATGGCACCACCGGGACAGAAATGAACAAATACCGCCCCTTCCGCATCGTCGAGGAACAAGTCACCCAGAACCTGCGGCACCTGCTCGAGTCCACCACCGGCGCCGACGTGCAAGCCACATCCTCGACGATGATGGCCGGCGCCCTCACCCTAGTACTCAGCCACATCAACCGGCGCACGATCGCCTGGAATGAAGCCCACGGGGGCGACACATCCGGCCCGGCAGGCAGCGGCGACCGCCCCGGCGGCAGCGGCAGCGGGCCAGCCACAACCGACGCAGAGAGCCTGCAGTCTCGAATCCTCATCATCTCCGTAAGCAGCTCAACCGACTCCGCCCACCAATACATCCCCATCATGAACGGGATCTTCGCCTGCCAACGACTACACATCCCCATCGACGTATGCAAACTCAGCGGCGACGCCGTCTTCCTGCAACAAGCGTCAGACGCCACAAAAGGCATCTACATGTCGTTAACAGAGCCCCGCGGCCTCCTCCAATACCTAATGATGGCATTTCTACCCGACCAGCGCTCCAGACGACACCTGGTGCAGCCGACACGGGTGGACGTCGATTTCCGCGCGGCGTGTTTCTGTCATCGGCGGGTTGTGGACGTGGGGTTTGTGTGCTCGGTCTGCCTGAGTATCTTTTGTGAGCCGCCTGCGAATGGCGATTGTTTGACCTGTGGGACGAGGCTGGATGTTGGTGAGTATGGGGCTAGGCCGGCTGTTGTCGCGAGGAAGAAGACGAAGAAGAAGAAGGTTAGGGGGGGTGGGCCTTCGGGGGCGGCTACGCCGACGCCTACGCCTACGCCGGGCCCTTGATTGGGACTTTGACTGGGACGTTGACTGGGACATTTATTGGGGCATTGATGGGGACATTGATTGGCAGATTTTGCACCCGTTTACCTCTTCTTTATTTTGTCTCTTTCTTTTAGTCGTGGCTGTGGAAATGGGCCCCCTATGCTGGGAGAACCAGCTCTGGTCTATGGGTGTCTTACATGATCGAGTACTGGATGCCGTGGATGATACAAGGGACAATTACAAGGATGTCGGTCTATCATCGGTAGTCTAGGTCTAAACATGTGCAGAGGGCTCCTTCTCTGGAGAGACCACCATTCCGTCACCTCAGCTCCAACCGAAACAATCCAGCCAACACCGCCGTGAACGCCTGGGGATTTCATTTGCCGTTGCCGTTGCCATCTCGGTGCATGGTCTTGGTGAATACGGAGTCATGGACAGCTTCATGTTGATGTGCAACAAAGATTAGCGTCCAGTCTGACACGCAGCGGTTGGATATTCCCTGTCGATTTACCTCGATGTACGTAATAACAGAGAAACTACCATCACGAATGGGACCCTGCGGTTGCATCTGGAACTCTGTGCCTATGATTGTAAGAAGCCCCGTCAGTGCTTAAGCCTTAAAAATTTAGATTCTTCGTGTATATAATTAGTGGATGCATACCTTCTGCGTCGGTAGACGCGACCGCCTTGGGCGACAGTTCCATTTCCACGGCTACGGGACATGACCGACGTTGGCTTCTTGTCCTCACAGCTCATAGAGGCGAGGGCCTATTCCCGTAGTTATTAGTCGTGCGCTCCTAGTGCGGGGGCGGGTGGATCAACGAACGAAAGAGTCGGTGTTATGAGCAAAGTACAAGAACATCGCGTCGGCGGTCTTCTTGACCGACATGACTCCGATTGCGCCTTGACAAGGGCTGTCTTTGACTCCGGGATGACCTGCTCGCGTTAGAGAAAGATAAGCCTTTGATCACACCGATCAGGGGCTCCTATCCTTACGCATGAAGTCATTTTGAATCATGGCACTGATGGCCTCGTCTTCTGTGACCTCCTCATATGAGCCGTCTTTGCATTTTCGCTGGCTGTAGTAAACACGTGCGGCGCATGTCTGGGCAGCTATGGTGGTTGCAATGTGCTCGCCAGTCCCTGAGGTGACTGTCGCGACACACGTCTTCTCGGGGTCACTGGGATCCACAGGGATTACGCTGGTCCCGATACCCACGAGTGCTGCTGGGCCGATCCGACCCCTGTGCTTCATTCCAATGCCCCCGGAGGACGATGCTGCTGCAATATTCCCGTTGCTATCCACTGCGATTGCGCCAACGGTATCATTGATCCGATCAATATCTGCTTCGCAGGGAACATGACCATCACAGCGGGGGTATCCACCATGAGGTGCGTTGTTTGCAGTTGCCGGTCCAGACCGAGTGTTGTGGCCGGAAGGGCTCTCCGAGCGTGACGCCCGCGTATCCGGTGCCTGACCCCGGTGGCTTGATGACGGCGATCTGTGCGGGGTGGCACCGTCGACATACTCACCGTCCCCGGTCTTGTGCGATCGTGAGCTCAAAGGTGAAGTATTCACATGATTGGACAGGGAGCTGTTGCTGGAGACGGTCTGCGTGTCGTGTGTGTGATGGGCCAGAGGAGAGCTAGCCACTGAGCTGGGCCGGTCACTCGAGGGGGTTGCCAGTAAATGGGCCGAATGATCATTGACGGGTCGACGATAAAATGAAGCGAGCTGGTCGTTGGGATATTGGGCGAGGTTTTGTTGTCTCAGCTTCGCTTCCGCCGCCTCCAGGTCTTTTTGCCAGCGGTTCCACCTTTCTTGTGCAGTAGGAGATATAAGAGCATCATGAGGAAGAACCACTAGCCCGTGTTCATAAGCGAAGTCAGTAGCCCCTTGTCCTACCAGGAAGTTCGGAGGGACTCTCTGTAACGACAGCGGCTTGCTGGAATGCTCATAGATTACCCGGGCGAGCGAAACCGGGTTTTTGACCTCTAAGAGATCCGTTAGACCCCAGACGAATCAAGCCCTGATGGAAGAACATTTGGGGCGAGACTTACGAGGAACGGCTCCAGCAGCGCCGCTTCGGCCTAGATGATCAATGATGGTGGCGTCGCATTCCACCGTGCCGTTCAAGGTCATATTGCTACCGTAGCCCGCATTTGTGATCTCGGCGTCTTCCAACAGCATAACGGCCGACTCGACTGCGTCAACTGCAGAGCCTCCATTTCGGAGTATTCCCATCGCGATTCTCACGGCACTTGATGGGGTTAGCCCACGCAACAAGCCGTTGGAGGAGGAACCTCACCTCTCACAGGTTTCTAGATGGGCTCTCTCGTTGTGTAGACTGTGGAACCCGGCTCCGGCATGGACGAAGATGGCGGATACATGATTTGACCTGGGATGGCTCATGGTGGAATTGTTTCTCGTGGAAGGGGGAGGGTCAGAAGGTCGAGGTCTGGCGTACTGTGATGGCATGGGAGAAAGAGGGATATCACGAAGTGTCTGAGAGCAACTCAGGATCAAAGAGTGCACTGCAGACCCAAACGGTGACATACACTTTGATGGGGATCAATTCATTGCCTGGGAGCTCTGGAACACAGACCGTAGACAACTTAGGGGAAAGGATGGGGGTGTTTTGCCTAGGGCGATCAATGGGTTGACAGAATGGATAAAGTGCTAGGAGTAGGTCACCCAAGACAGAGCGCAGTTGCTTTATCCAGAGAAAAGACCAGTGTTTATAGCAGAAAGAATGAAGATAAAGCTAAGGTGTGCTGCAAAAAGAGTGACTGATTTGAACATGAGGATAGGGTGGAGTGGCTTAGAAACGGTGGTGAAGCACACCAAGAGGTAGGAAGTTACAAGAGAAGCAAAAAGATAAGTGGAGGGACCGTAATTGCTTTGTCGAGCATAGTCTGGTAGATAGAAACCAGTAACACCCCGCTGGATCAACCACCAGTGAAGTATAAACGCCGGTGAAGTGAGGAAGGCAGGAATCTGAACAGTCTGATTGGTGCTCTTCACATAGTAGACGAGGTGCCAGTAGGATCTATATGTGTCAGTAGGCACTTCACTACATGACTGCCATGGCCTCTCACCTGATGAGAGAAGAATACTCGATACGAATGAGGTGAGTTCCACGCAAGACAAGAGAGGAGAAAGAAACCGAAGATGAAGAGAAGAGAAGAGAAGAGAGTATGTCGTCCCGATTAGGCAATGGCCATGCCTGTCCACGTGACCTGCGGCTTGGCACCCGTAATCGTGCCTTAGGCTGCGACCTGCCCACTCCTGCGGGCCTGAGGCCGACCGACCAGCTTACCGCATTCCCCCCTCCTACTGCTGCTCCTCCTGCTGCTCCTCCTACTCCTCTGCCTCCCTCCACCTCCCCCACATCTACTACCCCCTAACCTCTTCCCCGGTTCGTCTGTTCGGATATTAGGGATCTTTCTATGTTCCTCTTCTAATACTCTCTCTCCCAATCTCTTTCCTCCTTGTCCTACCTCTTATCTCGACATCTTGAAAGGGGGACGTGTGTGCGCTCCACATCATCCGTCATGGCGTCCCAAACCCCGGCCGTTGTCATGGACAAGTATGTTGCTGTGCCCAAGAAACTCTTCGCAATGACCGTGTAATGCACAAATGGAACATGATTGGCTGACTGGTGACTCCTTGGTGTAGCGGAACTGGTTATTCCAAGCTTGGTGAGGATGAGGATTGGGCTGCCTGACTATAAGGAGCTACCTGCCGCTGACACCCGGATTAGGTTTCGCCGGTAATGATTCGCCCTCGTTCGTCTTTCCCACCGCAATTGCCACCAAGACCCCCGGTAGCTCTGGAACCGCTGGCGCTGGCAGACCCGCCGTCGCAAACAAGCCGTCGTTCATGGGCGGAGGTGGTGGGGGAAGCTCACACTTGTCCGCGAAGCGTGGTACGGAAGACCTGGACTTCTTCATCGGCGATGAGGCTCTGTCGGCGGCCAACGGACCAGGATATGGGATCAACTACCCGATTCGTCATGGTCAGATCGAGAATTGGGACTCGATGGAACGGTTCTGGTCCAACTCGATCTTCAAGTACCTGCGTGTAGAGCCCGAGGACCATTACTTCTTGCTCACCGAACCCGTAAGGCCAACGACCTGCATTTCCCGACACTTACTCTATTGGAGGGTTACTAATTGAATCTGCCCGCTCAATAGCCGTTGAACCCCCCTGAGAACCGTGAGAACACGGCCGAGATCATGTTCGAGTCGTTCAACTGCGCTGGTCTCTACATTGCGGTCCAAGCTGTGCTTGCACTCGCTGCCTCGTGGACGTCCTCCAAAGTGACCGACCGGTCCCTGACGGGAACGGTCATCGACTCCGGTGACGGTGTCACCCACGTTATCCCCGTCGCCGAAGGCTACGTCATCGGATCCTCCATCAAGAGCATACCGATTGCCGGTCGAGACATCACCTACTTCGTCCAGAGTCTGCTGCGTGACCGAGGCGAGCCGGACAGCAGCCTGAAGACAGCCGAGAAGGTCAAGGAGGAGCACTGCTACGTGTGTCCCGACATCGTCAAGGAGTTCGCCCGCTACGACCGGGAGCCCGACCGCTTCCTCAAACACACCGTGACGTCGCCCAACGGCCGCAGCGTAAACATCGACGTCGGGTACGAACGGTTCCTGGCCCCCGAGATCTTCTTCAACCCCGAAATCTACTCCTCCGACTTCCTGACCCCCCTGCCGACCGTCGTCGACGGCGTCATCCAGTCCTCCCCCATCGACGTCCGGAGAGGTCTCTACAAGAACATCGTCCTGTCCGGCGGCTCGACGCTATACAAGGACTTTGGCCGCCGTCTGCAGCGTGACATCCGGCACCTGGTGGACGCGCGGATCCGCGCCTCCGAGGCCCGCAGCGGCGGCGCCCGCAGCGGCGGTCTCGACGTGGCCGTCGTGACGCACAAGCGACAGCGCCACGGCCCGTGGTTCGGCGGCAGTCTGCTGGGCCAGACGCCCGAGTTCCGCAGCTACTGCCACACCAAGGCCGAGTACGACGAGATCGGCCCCAGCATCGTCCGGCGGTTCGCCCTGCTCGGTGGACCGGGCACGTAAGGGAGCGAAGGAGGTATTTATTTCGACAGTCAAATGAAAGTGTGGGTTGTCATCGAGTAGATTAGAAATGGAAGCCAGTGGGGTTACGGAATACCGACATTTGGAAGAAAGAGCTGGGGGTTGATTCTCTATGCTGCTACATGTAGTGGCTTTTTTTCTCTCTGTTCAATTGTACCGCTTATAACAGAACAAACTTAAGAAAAGCACCCAATTTCCCTATCAGATCTAGCTAGCTAGGTACTTTGATGTATATATGCAACAAAAAACCATATATAAGTATACATATAGGCACCGTGCATGCGATATGTAATACCCAAACCCCTCCCCCAACGCCGTCAAATAGCAGTGTGCTATCACATACACGAAAGACGCTTTTTGATTTAAAACAGAAGAGCCAATATTCTAAGATCGCAACCCGTCTCAACATAAAAGAGCTACCCCTTATACGACGGCCCTGTTCAAAATAGCCACACCCTCAACATGGCCCGTTTGCGGGAAAAAGTCAAACCCGCGAATACTCTCAATCTCATACCGCACCTTGCCCTCCGCATCACCCTGGACCATGACCGCCACGTCGCGGGCCTGGGTATGCACATTGCAACTGACGTAGGCAACCCTGCGGGGCCCGTAGGACAGCAGCTGGCGGAGGAAGTCGTCGCTGCAGCCCTTACGGGGCGGGTCGATGACGAGGAGGGTCTGGTCGGCGGGGTAGGGGACGTCTTTGAAGAGGACGGCGGCGTCGGCGGCGGCGAAGCCGGTGTTGGGGAGACTGTTAGCGCGGGCGTTTTCACGGGCGGAGGTGATGGAGTCGCCTGCGACGTCGACGCCGAGGCTGGATTTGAAGAGCGGGGAGAGGGTGATTGTGAAGAGGCCCGAGCCGGAGTAGGCGTCGAGGAGGTATTTGATGGGTTTGGGGTCTTGGTCGTTGCCCTTGGGGAGGGCGAGCTGGCGGATGTAGTCTGTGAAGCCGGAGAGGATGGAGTTGTTGTTCTGGAAGAAGGCGCCGGCTTTGTTGGAGAAGAGGTAGTCGTCGACGTATTCGACGGAGGTGGCGTTGTTGTCTGTCACGCAGCGTTTTTCCTCGATGTACTGGTCGTGCTCGACGCGGATGACGTCCCCGGAGTCGGTGGGGCTGCCGTCTTTCTTCTTTTCCGGGGTCTTTGGTCTGCTGGAGCCGTCTTTGGGGACGCGGGTGGTGGACTCGCGCATGAGCAGGGTCGCGCCCTTGGTGTATTTGCCGAGATTCTCCGCCACGCGTCTCCGCTCGCTCTTGAGACCCTGTCGCACGATGTCCGTACCCAGCGGGCAGTCCTCGATGTCCATGTCCTTGCGTTGGTTCTTGAAGGTGAACCCGATGGGCGGCACCTCTGTGTGCGCCACTCTGACCTTACCCCTCTTGTTCCCCGGGGGGGCGGCGAAATGCGGTGTCAGCTTCGTTCGATAGCCGTATTGCATGGGCGACGGGAACGTCTCATCGATAGAAGGGACTAGTTCCGGAATGAGTCCCGAGAAGTTGGCGTACGCCTTCTCCACAATGCGCCTCTTATGCGCCAGTTGATCCTCGTAGGGCATCATCTGCAGCTGGCACCCGGAGCATTTGCCAAAGTACTGGCACCCGATGCCTGCATCGTTGCGTTGCGGACCGGGTTCGATGACTTTGAGAAAGTCCGTGAGACTGTAGGACAAGGATGGGAAGTGGCGCACGACCTTCACGAGGGCTTTGTCGCCGGGGACGGTGAACGGAACGACGTAGACGTGATCGGCGTTGTCGGACAGCGCAAGCCCATCGCCCGTCGAGGAGATCTCCGCGACCTTGACCTCAATCTCGGTGAAGTTCTCGGGAAGGGTGGGAGGGGGGGGAGAGGCATCGGGGTTCTCGGCGTCCGGTTCGCTGGCGGGCTTGTTCTTGCGGAGAAGCGTATCGATGTCGGTCTGAAGGACTTCGTCGTACCCGTTGCTCTTGGTGCGGTCGACCTTGACCTTCTTGCGCCGCTTAATGGCGTTATCTGGCTTCTTGGGAGGATTCTGCATTATGTGAGAGGGCAATGGCGCATTGCGGGGTGAGGATCGGTTCTGAGACGGAGACGGAGTGTGAACAAGGCGTCGCACAAGTAGAGGGCGAAATGATCTGAGTGAAGAAGAGAGAAGGGGTCTGATGGGGATCATCTATATGGCTGTATCCCACAAGACCAAGACGGAGGATAAGTGAGAATGAGAGTAGAGTTTAGAAAATAATTGAAGCCAAAAAAAAATATGGAGAAAAAAAAGCCTGGAGAAAATGGCGACAAAGCAGGAAAAGGCGGCCAACGATTGGCCGAGAGTTCTGCCGCTGAGAATTTCGCCGACTCCGAACTTCCAAACTTCGCTTTTGTTCTCCGATCCGTCTATCGCCCTTGACCACCTCGCCAGTCGCTTTCACCAAGTCCTCCCCCCCCTCCTATACCTCTCCCTCCCATTATCTCTAGTGGTCCACTGGCCCAAGGCCTTTTAGCCACCATGAGTCTCGCCCGGCCCGCCAGATGTCTGTTTTGCAGCTTCTCCCGGGCTGCCTCCGCCGTGCCTCGCGTGCCTCGTCGCCAGTTCCACCCGTCGCCGCCCTCGTTAAACAGCAAGCCGAAACCCCCCAATGGCCCGGAGTCGGAGTTAAAATCCCTGTATCAGATCTCGCGGGAGATGAAGCAGGATGATTTCCAGCCCTACACCGAGGAGGAGAAGGCCGGCCTGCGCGAGGTGTACACCCCCGAGCAGATCGCCGCCATCGAGGCCGGCGAGGCCGCCATTGACCCCAAGGACATGGCGGACCAGTTTGCATTCCGCTCGGATCCGATGAAGCTGCGGTACCTGGACGACTTCTCGACCATCGAGCCGGGCGTCGACAAGCACGTGCGGGCCCCGGTCGAGAACACGGACTACGACGCGAAGATGAAGACGCGGGAGGATTTCGTGCAGGATCTCGCGCAGTATTTTATGGAGATGCCCGAGGACGCCAGCGCGGGCCACTTCGTGCGGTTCCTGGAAAGCGTGCGGGTGACGCGCGGCAAGGAGGAGAACGAACTCAACCCGCACAGCGCCCTGGTGCCCGATTTCATCAGCCCCGGGGAGACGCTCACCGAGACCGGGAAGGTCACCAAGACGGTCTTCACCGACGCCGTCAAGAAGAGGCTGGGCGAGGACCTGACCGCGGCTCTGAAGCGACTGATCCAGGATACGGGCTACGGCGAGCAACATATCCGGAATCTGAAGACCAAGGCTCTGGTCACGCACCGAGTCGTCAACCAGACCCGTCTGGGTAAGATCCCGAGCACCTACTCGCTGGCGATCGCCGGCAACGGCCGGGGTCTGCTGGGCATCGGAGAGGCCAAGTCCGACGAGCTCCCCGACGCCAAGCTGCAAGCGACGTACCGAGCGATCCGCAACATGCAGCCCATCCCGCGGTACGAGCACCGGACCATCTACGGTGATGTCACGGGCAAGGTTGGTGCTGTCGAGCTGAAGTTGATGAACCGGCCTCCAGGTAAGCCTTTTAATATATTACTACGCAGTCATCCCTTGAAATAACTAACGGCGGACGCAGGATTCGGCCTCCGCTGCCAACACCTCATCTTCGAAATGTGCCGCGCAGCAGGCATCCACGACCTCGCCGCGCGGGTCGGCCGGTCCCGGAATCCCATGAACACGGTGAAGGCCGCCTACCAGGCACTCATGAGCCAGCGCAACCCGGACGACATCGCGCGCGCCCGCGGCAAGAAGTTGGTGGATGTGCGCAAGGTTTACTACTCTGGACGGGCATGATCAGGTGTCTTTGAACTTGTGGAATAGGGATCATCACGCACTGCTCGTTTAGACAGTTGGCAGGCAGGATTGACTTGCGGACCGCGTTATGATGTATATAATATTGCTTTTTTTGCCTCTCATATCGCCTTTCTTATGTACCCATCATGTACTTGTATCAAGAATTGTTTTAACAAAGCCAACAAACGAATAAAATCAATAAAAAAACGGGGTATATCACAATCATCAATCCATCAAAGAAAACAAAACAATCCCACCAAACCAGACCTACAATCCAACCAACCCAACAACCCAATCCATCCCCCCCCTACCTTAAAAACCGAAAAATAACAACTCAAGAAAAAGTAACATCCCCCCCCTCATCCCCATAATACCCCCCGTGTTCCTGCTCCCGATACTGATCCTGATACCCAAAGTCCCCCTCCTCAGCCGCCCGATGTTCTCCCTCCTCATCCGCACGCGCCTGCTCCTCACTCTCATTAAAGATCTGCTGCTGCAGCACAATACTATAAACGCTCGCCTTGAGCAGCGTACACACGGTGGCCGTTTTGCGCTCGAGCAGACGGAGGCCGTCTAGTGTGAGCGAGGAGGGGTCGCCTGAGAGGTCGGAGAGTTTTGATTCCAACTTATGAATATCATTAGCATCTTGGGAAAAGTATTTAGGAGGAAAGAAAGTGGAGGTGGGATGGGGACAGACCTTGTTCACATTCCCTAGAAGACGCGCATATTCGTCTAACACGTCTTGTTCGAGGTTTGAGACTTGCGGGTTGGAGGCGCGGAGGAGGGGGTTTTGGTTCTCGTCGTGGTGGGATGCGGGTGGGGGGGTTTCGTCCATTGTGGATTGATTGATTGATTGATTGATTGATTGGATTGGATTGGATGGATGGATGTTGTTCGTTTCAAGGCGCGTAGAGAAATTGATCGTAGTATGGAAGGAGGTGAGATTGTTGGTGAAAGGATCAGTCGGAGTTGGACGTGGAGTGGAGTGGGTTTGTGGTGGTTGAGTTGTGAGTTGAGTGACAATGGATTTTGTTTGGAGCGGAGATTGGCAAAGTTCTCCGCATCTTATCTGCCCGTTCTCTCCCACCTACTTACCAGTTAACCACTTATATCAGTCTACTAAAGAAGATAGAATACATATATTATGAATGACATATAAAGATCATGTTTAAAAACGATATATCATGTTAGTCTATTGTAGTCCGCAGGCTCCGGGCCGGTCAAAACACGGACAGATGAATATCTCAAGGTAGTCTCCTAATCTAGATGATCCAAACAAATTGATCTGCCCACAGAGCAGACTTCAAACAACAAACAAACCCTGACTCAGAACGGGCATCAATCAACACTTCGCTGCACTAAACAGGGTGTGACCACAGCAGATAGGGATGCTGTCTCTCCCCCCAAAAAAAACAATGATCAGTACAACCGAAATCTAACGCCGTCTCTTGCAATCTGAGAAACACAAAAAAGAAACGTATACTGCAAGCCTCCAGGACTGAGGAGCGTGAAACCGAAATTAATCCATGTGTCGAGACCGAGGCGGAAGGAAAGGACTGGAAATGCAACCACAGACAACATGACCGCCCGGATGCAAAAAATCAACTGAAGAAAGGACTGGCGGGAAAAATCCAAGTCGAAAACGCCGAAATACTCCTGATATCATGACTGCAGGAAAGATAAAAAACACAAAAACCCATGCATGCATGACTGTCGTGAGGTGAGCACCTAGGCAATGATACAAGATATGCTCGCGGGATTATGGTGGGAAGGACAGAGCGAACGCGGCTGCCCTGAGTGCTTGGGGGTTCAGCGGACCACTATGGGTCGCCATCATGATGCAGAGTAACGCTGTTGAACTCCTCGAAAGGATCCGCGACCTCGCCAGTCGGGGTCGTCGAATCCATGGGAACCCCCTTCATCTTGATGTTCTTGCTCCCGCCGATATCGACGCTCCCGCTTTCCTTGACGTTGCGGAAGTTGACCGTGTCCGTGCCCCCGCCCTGGTTGGGGATCATGGGCGGTTTCATGTGGCGAATGAGCGCCCACTGGGTTTGCCGGAAGAAGGGATGAGTCTTCACATCGGAGGCACCAGCGCGCGCGCCCAGACGTTTCGTCTCGTCCTTGATCAGGAGTTTCCGGATGAGGGACTTGCACAGACTGTCCTGTGGTTAGTATCTAAAGTGGCAGTATCGACCAATAAAGACTTACTTTGAGATCTGCTGGGCCCCGGTGTGCTCGGGGAACGGTACTTCATCCCGGAGGATGTTGCCGAATGTCGCGTTGCGATTCTTGCCCTTGAAGGGCGTGGTCCCGTAGAGCATTTCGTAGATCAGAATGCCCAGGGTCCACCAGTCCACGGCACTGGTGTGCCCACAACCCTTGATCACCTCCGGGGCTATATACTCTTCAGTCCCGACAAAGGAATTTGTCCGGAAATCCGCAATGCAGGACTTGGTGTCAATGGTAGGAAGCGACGTCGTGGAGTTGCCGCTCCGTGCGGGAATCATGACGGGCGCACCGCCCGGTCCTGATTGTTTAGACAGATCAAAATCGGACAACATGATGTGGCCCGACTGGTGAAGCAGGATATCTAGAATTACCGTCAGCAAGACCCACACCGGCATCGGCGACGGGATAACGTACTCTCTGGCTTCAGGTCACGGTAGATGAAGCCCATGAGATGGAGATACTCAAGAGCGGCCGTCACTTCGGCGGCATAGAACCGGGCCGCGTCCTCGGAGATGCACTTTCCTGGACGCGTTTGCAGTGCTACAAGAACAGAACAGGTCAGTGTATGCTGGAGAACAGACATCCGGCATTCTACCCACCTCGGAAGAATTCGCCGCCGCTGCAATACTCCATGCACAGATAGAGGTAATCCTCGGATTGGAAAGAATGGTAGAGAGTGACGATGAAGGGGTGATTGCTGGTAGCAAGGATCTCCTGTTCGGCCAAGGCTCTCTTGATCTTATTTCGCTTGATCATTTCCTTCTTGCTCAAGACTAGAGGAGTTAGCGACGTGACCCATGCAGAGCACATAAGAGGCTACACACCCTTCATCGCGTATAAGCGGCTGGACTTCTTCTCGCGCACGAGATAAACCTTGCCCACGTCGCCCTTGCCGATCAACTTGATCTTATCAAAGCTACTCGGCCCCACCTCGACGTTGCGGATCTTGATGGAATTCGAGCTGTACGTCCGGCGGAAGGACGACGAGGTCCGAATCTGACCGGGACTGGGGAGTTTGCCGTCGGAACCGAGCTTGGGGACCGACAGACTCACAACGTTATCCGTCGCATGGCCCGTTTGCGGGTCGACGGTGGACTGTTCCACCAGCGGTTCCTTTCCTAGCTCGGCGGTCTGGGGTCGGTCCCCGGACTGTCCTTGGGAGAAGAGGTTCTGCGCATTGGGGGCCGAAGCGACACGGCGAAGCTTTCGGGCCAACTCCTCCTTGTTGGCGGTCGTCGCCTGCTCGGCGGCAGAGACGCCGTCTACCTGCAACTCGGGGGTGTCGGGGGGCGACGAGGCCTCTTCGCCATCATTGCGATGCTGCAGGGACGGCTGACCCTGGTGGACGAAATACGGATTGGCGGTCGCAATGGGGGAAACACCCTCGTCGAGGGGGTTGCCTTCGCTCGCAACGGTGGTTGAGCGATTACGACCAATGGTGGGCAAGAAACGGGATTGCCTGAAAGCGGACTTGGATTCGGTCTTGGCGGCGGTGGCGTCCCTCTCGCGATCCCGGTCGCTGCTGTTGGAGTGGCCGCCGTGGGAGGAATTGTTGGAGCTGTTGATGCGGAAAAAATTCTTGATCCTCGTGGGGAGATGGCTCGATTCGTTGGGGTGTTTTTTCGACGCGAGGAAATTCCCCCGTTTCTCATTCGTCACGTTGGACGACGGGCTGGAAGCGAAAAGCTGCGTCATGCCGACCGATGCGCCTGGATCCACAGGCAGGGGTTCCTTTTCGTTTTGAGTTTTCGAATGGGAGTAGAAACCAGGAAGGGAGGAAATCAAGATGATAATTTGGAAGAGAAAAGAAGGAAGGGCGGAAAGGTTAAAATTGGACGATGGAGCGAAGGAGGCAAGGGAGGAAGACGGGACGGAAGGTACCTAGACCATACAGGCTAGGAACCGCGGGGAGGGCGTAGGCGGGTAGTGGTTCGCACCAAGGACCGGTTCAAGGGATGTCCACTCCACGAGGATGAATCGTTGTGGAAAGTGGAAAAGAACAAAAGGGAGGATGGATATCAAGGTTCACCTTCCCAGTCAGGAGATCAACGAAGGACCGAAGGTAACCATATCAAGGGAAGAAGAATGGAAGAGAGAGAGGAAGCGATGGAGAGAGAGATGAGGAGAGGGAGAGAAGGGAGAAAGAGAGAGAGAGAGAAGAAAGAAAGTGGAGACGTGTTGTTGGAACCAACTAGTAAGAGAACTTACAGGTTGAGATGCAGCTTAGTCAGTCGTGACTGTCACAGCATTTAGAGTTATGTATGGAGACGATTCGCCTCTGTTGATTCAGCACGCCACTTCTTCGCTTATGGGTTTCATGATGAGGACTGAGGTATCTGAGTCAGTTCTTACTCTGATCTATAATGACTGAGTAGATACCAGGTAGGGCAGAACAGCCCCCGTTGATCATCGAGAGTACATGGATTGACAGTACGAGGTAGTATCCTATTACCTCCATACCTCTACTCCTCTACTACTCCCATAGAGTACGGATAGTCATCGAGGAGTCCAAAAGTCATATGAACACCCCAGCTGCACTTGACACACCCGAGCTGAAAGTTGAAACCCGAAATTCCAATGGCTAGTGGATATAGTCGGACTTCTCCAGACTAGCCTTGTCTAACCTTTCCCCAAAGAATCCTAGCTACTCCACTTCAACAACGCGATGGTCCATTTCAACCAATCGTGCTAACAACGTCATGTGGATTACCTTGAGTGATTGATCATGGGCTTACTATCCATATGGAGAATCCCTGCATGTCACTATGCTTGGGTGCATTTTTAGTAGTACGGAAATAGGAAGAAGGAAGAGAATTAAACCCTTTCAGGAGATGGATATCATGACGCCTAATAGAGTCTCAGCATCGCAATTCTATATCAGTCAGTAGACAGATGTGGACCTAAGCTTTCACGAGAACAAGCCCTATGATTTTTTATCCCCCCGGAACAGCATAAATAAACACATACTGATCATTCCGTGTTCTAATCAGATCCTGAAGCTACCACCTAGAGACTACAGCAAAAGAAAATACAATCCCTTTTTGCAAGAGTAACACGCCTCCACCGGCGTATAAAGCACATACCAATCGTGTCGCCGTAATCCCAACAATGAATGTCTTTCCCATATCACCTTCCCAGACGACCATCAACTGTCCGCTCCTCATCCCACCCCCCTCTCCTTTCTTCTGTCTTCACTTTTCTTTCCGTAGAGGATTGAAAAGTATAAGGCTCGGTGGATATACCTTCTTGAGGTCTAAAACAGAAACCGTCATGACTACCTTCTGCCATTCTCAAGTAAAAGTCGATCTGACCGCATCGGCCATAAAAGCCTCAAGAGGTTCTTGAACCGACGCATCCACACCACCCACTTGCTCCCGGCCGTCCCCAGAAATTCGATGGAATAGTTCCCGAATGTCCAGCAGACTGGGACTGACACCAACCCTGGGCAAGTAGCCACCTCGCGCATCCGCATTCAGAACGGTGCCCGTGCGGTTGTCAGCATCCCGCGTGGCGATTCCACCGAAGTCGACAGGACTGTCTGCAGGGCCATCCGTCTGAGGCATCCGTGCATGCACATTGATGCTTTGTGGAGCCGTCACCGCC